CGGAAACTTCAGACAAACTGCAGGATTTATACAGCTCTTGATGGAATTCAAGCCAAAGTCGGAAAAAGGAAGCTGCCTTTTTAAAAAGGCCAAACGGGCCCGCGTTCATTGTGATGTTCCTACATCTTTGGTCCCTTAGATATCGCAGGCTTTTGACGTAAGGGTGGAATGTACTTTTAATTTCGCAGGTCAAAAAACGAGAGGATTGCGTTCACCCGCTTGTAAAGAGATGCTGCCCCCGCCCAGCTTGGTTAGCCATAAACTGCTTTTTGGCTTGCATTCAGAGGCGCTGAGCCTGCCTCCCAAAATATATGAAGCTATGGAGCTCATCACTAGCGTGAATCCAACTAGTGATAAGAAAAAAGCAGAATTCATGGAAAATGCCCCTATATGGCAAAAACCCCCATGCTGCGACAGCGCGGTGGGCGGGGGCGGGCGGGATCTCCTCGAAAACGGCGGTGGTCCTCCGCCTTTTTGAGATGCGAAACTGTACATACCTGCAGCCTTATGGGAAGGCTATGTTATCCACAGAGGGTGCGGCGAACAATCAGGGAACCTGGCGGCTGCCTGCTTAGTCCGATGCCGAAGTTTTTTTTTCTTCGCTGTCGTGTGAATATTATCCTGAAAAAGCCCTTGCAACAACAAAGTTTTTCAAAAAAGAATGTAAGTTGAAAAAACTTAACGCCAGTTCTTTCGCTGTTGCTGCACGGTAGTTGTTTGCAGGAAAACCGGAGCGGTAGGGAATCGCGGTTCATCACTATTGGCTCACCCCCCTTCCCTCCGCAATCAGGGTCATTTATCTACTCCGCGCCAAGTAGGTACATGGGTCGTCCTTTCTTTTCAAGTAGCACAGCCCCCAGCTAGAAGGGGACTTGTCGCCACTCTCCGCGACTCCATAGCGAAGCGAAAAGGCGTTACTACAGGGCGCTTAAAAAATCCAGTTCATAGGCCCTGCCAACCCTTGCGAACCGCTCACTTGCTTTAGATGGCCCCTCTGAGTGAGAGCCACCAGTTGTTCTTTGTTGGGGCGGCGGGCAATAACCGGGATTGCAAGTCATTTTTGCGGCCGCGCTGGTGCCCATAAATAATTCTGCTCTCCTTTATCACATTTCATTTATTGGGACCAGCATCATACAATAAAATGGCCAACCCAGTCTCGTACGGTAAAACAGCATTAAGACCACGGAAGTCATGCAATTATTTTGTGGTGCCAAAAGCTCGACCTTGCAAAACATGCCACTAAAAGCCCCCCCCAAAATTCGGGAACGCCCGTGTTTTTGGAAGTTTTTATTTTTGGCCTTCTCAAGGGTTTTTTTCTTCCCGATTTTGTTGTTTTTCGTATTCTTCTTTTGCATTGGAATGGACACTCCAACACTGGGAAGATGTAAAAGGGGGATTTGTGAGGCCAAGAGGTTGCCCACAAAGCCATAGGGAAACTTGGGGACTGTTAGGAAAGCGATTTTAATGGTTATGGTGTTCCTTGGGGGACTTTTTTTTTGCTTTCTTCCTTCTTTGGATAATTACTTACCAACTACTGTTTCATAATTGAAAAGCAACTACCCATGACACTTTTATCGCGGGAGCTGTCTTAAGTACTTACAGCGAATTTTACCGTAAGGCGAAAGGATTTAAATCGCGTACATTGCATGAGCGCCACAGAGGCACTGTGGCAAGTGACACTTTACCAGACGCGCGGTTCGGCTGTCAACGACCGGCTCAGTTCCCACCCAAATTAATGGACTCCTTTAGCATCCGGGGACGATGAACTGTTACGGAATTAGTCTGGGACGATAAGAACACTCACTTTTGCATCAGCTAATCCCGCAGGTTATTGTGTAGGGTATCTCGCAAACACTAGGCCTCTACTATTCCGAATGAAAGTGGATTGCCTGCGACGTCCGAAGAACGGAGTGACCAATGGCAAAGACTTTATCTTTTTAATATATGGTGCACCCACCTCGAAACTCCCCTTCCCTCGACAAATTAGTCCCCCGATGAGGCACAGAGCCCCAGAAGAGATACGCACCAAGTTGTCGCGCAACACTCCTTTAACGAATCTATTTCGACCAGCTCATAAACCATTACTTGAACCGTCTCAGGGCACTTGTCAACCGAGAGCCTCTCCTCTCTTTCCTTTTTTCTTCCTCCCTCCTTCTTTTCCTTCCTTCCTTCTCTGATCCCTCCTCCTTTACCTTCTCCCTTCAACTACTGGACTGGTAGATGCCTCGTGAAAATAACCCTGGACCCTCGCAGCGAGAGCACGTCTGGTTGACAACAGCCCCGTAACCCACTTGAACATGCGGTGTCAAAGTAAAGCTGCTCTCCCTTCGATGAGGTTGGTAACTCGCGAGAATGTGACTGATGGCAATAAACCCACGACACATGGTGGCACGACCCACGTGACGGGCTACTCATATGCGCCGCCAAACGTCTGCTTCTCCTGTAACCCATCAATCCCAGTCTTTACCACATAACAGGCAGTGAAGGTTACCCTTAAAAACCTTATAACCCAAACAAAACCCGTTTCGGTACGTATTCGAAATAATTCAAAGCCTAGTACCGCCGCCAAGCTGCGCTGTATTCACGAAAGCGCGCGATTTGAATCCCGTGGTGGTCCTGACACGATCGCAAAAACTGCGCGTCCGCTGCCGATCCTTCGCCCCGCCCTCGTCATTTATCTTTTTTCCTGAATCGTGAGCATCAGCGGTGCGGTAGTCTAATCAATACCGATGTAAGATCTCCACTTGCCGGTCGTGTTCGCCCCTTTCTCTGTATAATTCAGTGATTTCGTGTGTTTAAATAGCTAATTCTCCATTATTAATGTTCGTTTCTGCTAAAATCTTCTAGGATATCATGCTAGCCTTTGTTTTCAGTGATCTAACCTTGATTTCAGCAGATGGCTTCTGAAGATAGTGTTGTTTCTGGAAAAGAAAACCAACAGACAGAGGAAACTGTGAGTTCTTTTTTTAGGGCTTCGTCACACCTGTAATTACTTACTGGAGTAGAAGAGTTCTCTTGTTATCGACCGAACTTCTTGGTAGTAAAAGTATGAAAAATTGCGAAACATTTCAATATAGTGTATTTAAGAACTGAGCAGTAAACGGTACATGTTCTTGAGCCCCTTAAGTTTTGAGAATACATAACCTTTACTTTTGTTCTTGTAAAAACAGTGCAGTTAGCAGTCGCCGACATATTAGACCGCGCTCACACCTTACACAGCGAAGAATTGCAAATTTGACGAAAAGGATTAGATACTGATCGATCTGAGCATAAGAAGAACAGCGGAAATAGATCAGTACGTATATCATTCGTTTTGCTAGTTCTGCAACTCGTCAGTTTTTCTCTGTCGCAAGTATGAGCGCAGCTTCACCATCCTTGTAAAGGAAAAAGCCAGTTCTTCAATGAACCTCCTGTTTTGATACTAGGGCCATACCGGTTGGCGAATATAGCGCAGCATGGGATAGTTAGAAAGCAGAGACGGTATAAAGCATCAACCAGCACACTCCATCTTTAACTGCTTAACACGTTGGCGACGATGCCGACAATGGTGGCTGACAGCCAGTCTGTCTCGTGGGACAATGGCGGACAATGGTGTCTGCTGTTCTAATATAATAAAGATGTATGAACAGCCGAGCTCACTGGAAACGTATCTCTAGGGGTAGCTTATCCCTGTGAAATGAATACCACAGCCTTTGCACGAGCTACCTGGCGCCGGCGCCAAGATACCATAAAGCACCAAATTTGCTGAAAACTTGTCTCCTGGGGCAGCTTGACCCCGTGAACACGAATATCACATTCGTTCGTCACGAAACTGCCTGAGCCCGCGCCACAGGCGCCGGCGTGAAAAGGTCCCAGATCCCAATTTCCTGAAAACTTGTCCCTATCGGTAGTTCGACCCCCTGAACAAGAATATCATGTCCACTTAACGCGTTGACGACGATTTCCGTCAATGGTGGACGACAGCCAGTTTGTCTTGTGGAACGGCGTCACCCAATGCTGTCCACAGTTATTATATAACTCAAAATCTGCGCGATTGTTTCACTTTCTTTTCATAAAATTAGTTTGAAAACAACATTTTCGGGTCGAGGGGATGCGATATTGTTCTTTAGGAGATCAAACCACCCCGGGAGACAAATTTTCAGTCAATTCTGCCTCCAGAGGAAGAAGTTGGTAAAAAATGGCCTGGTTTTGGAAGATTGGAGCAATAAAAGCTGAAGTTTGGGCACCATTCACCCTTTACTGCCCCAACCATCCAGAATTGAGCCAGTTTTGACCGACTTTTTTCTCCGTGGACAGATTTGGCTCAAATGTTGTCTCCTGGGGTAGTTTGACCTCCTGAATACGAATATCACATCGCTTAGCCCGAAACTTCCTGGCGCCCGCGCCACAGGCGCCGGTGATTTGGGGTATTTTGGCGCCAGCGCCTGTAGCTCGGGCGCCAGGAGGTTTCGGGTCGAGCGGATGTGATATTCGTGTTCAGGAGGTCAAACTACCCCTGGAACAAGTTTTCAGCGAATTTGGTGATTTAGGGTATTTTGGCGCCGGCGCCTGTGGCGCGGGCGCCAGGAGGTTTCGTGCCGAGCGGATGTGATATTCATGTTCAGGAGGTCAAACTACCCCAGGAGTACAAATTTTCAGCCAATTCTGCCAACGCAGAAAAAAGTCGGTCAGAAACTGTTCTGTTTTTGGAAGAATGGGGCAGTGAAGGGTAAATAGTGCCTTTATTTGGAAATTACTAAGTTTCAATGCAGGAAAATGTGCCGTCCCACGCGCAAGTCATGGGAAAATGGCTCGCCGTCAACGTGTTAAGCTACACAAAAGATCCTGTAGTTCTTCTCTCAAACTTTACGTGAAGTATTTCGGGATTCACTCATTTTAAATCTTGAAACAGTTCTTTCTAATGCAGTCAGAGGCGCTTTGCTACTTTGTTACAACTGTTTCACTACAACAAGCGACTATACTAACGTTCCAGAAGATAACTGTTCGTAACATGTTAGGACATGTCACATGTGGTATGACGATTTGAAGACACGTCTCGCGATCAAAAATGCCAGGCTGTGGGGTGGAGTTGTGCAAGAAATGAGACCCCTATAGTTGATGGCAAGCTACGCCCGTTGTGGGCGGGGCTCGACACACCACATGCAAGCCAGCTCTCGTCAGTTTTTTCCCTTCTGCATCGACTATTTCGTGACCACCAACTCTCTCGAGAACCGAGTTACTGGAATTTGTGTGTAGCACTGCTCATCTCAAGTTTGTCTCGCTCATTTTGGGTGTGTCTGTCCTAATTAGTCTGCCAACTCCTACATGCCTTATTCCACTGTATTCTCTGGGCTGCTCAGGAATCGAATTATGAACTTTTGACTGCGGCACCGCCAACTTTCGGCACATGCCCTGTCCACTATGGGCGGACTGGCAAAGGTCGAGTGTAGTCTTTACTTCCTGTACGTGCCCTACCCATCGCAACCTTGACTCGACCTCTCCAGGTTGTTCTTCATATCTAACCGAATTTCCGAACAGAGAAACAGCCAGACAGACAAAACAGACTATAATAGAGGGTGACAACATTGCACCCTCCTCCTCCTTTCCCCCCCCCCCCTCCCCTCCCCTCCTTCCAGACTCCGATCTTCTATTCTCTCATCTCGTCAGATCGATACCTATTCTTTCGATTGTGCACATTCCATCCTAATATTTTCCAGATCTCGTATTCTGTAATATCGTGTAGTGTGAACGCGACCTAAATTCCTGTGTTTTCTTTAAACTTATGGCTTGGGCTCAGGAGTTTCTTTGAGGGAAATATAAAGTCGATGTGAATCGTCGGGTTTGGATAGTTTTTCTTCTCTTAAAATATTCTTATGAGTGTGGCTCCATGTGTAGCAAAACTATACCGGTATAGTTACATGTTGACAAACTTTTTGCTGTAGGCATTGCGTGAATACAACCAGCACTTATTGAACTATTTGTATTATAGCACAAAGGCGCGGGTGATTCAGTCGTTGGACTACCACAGGAGCTGCTAATTCGTCATCCCTTGCAGTCAAGATGGGCATTATGGTATCTGAAGGCGGATAGAAATAAGGAATGGGAGGACTGTCTCAAGGTTCGTACTGGAAGATTGAAATTTGTTCGTTGTTTGTGTTTCCGTACGGTTTTACGGGCATATTAAAGTGCTTTTATAGTTTGCGCCAGCATTTTGAACAACTGGTAAAGTATAGGTATCGATCCAGTGGGTATAGCAGGGTTTCCAGGGGCCAGGACCTTATAGGTATCCAACTAGCGTTTCAGGCCGGTGTGCGGCGCTGATCGATACCTATACTTTACAAGTCGCTCGAAATGCTGACTGACGCAAAGTATGAACGCACCCTCATCCAAATGTTTCAGATGGTCTCTCTTTTTGATACTGTAGAAGACTTTTGGGCTCTCTACAATCACATACAGACTGCAAGTGGTCTCAACTGGGGATCAGATTACTATCTTTTCAAAGAGGTATACTTTTAGCATTCGAACATACCTCCAAAGATGTTCAGCCTGAGTTGATTAAACCTTGTTTTAGGGTATAAAGCCCATGTGGGAGGATGACAGCAATGTGAAAGGCGGTCGTTGGCTTGTTGTTGTCGATAAGCAGGTAAATTATACCGTTACTAAAGCCCCGCTCCCTATTGGTGAACACGTAATTTTAAGCCTTGAATATTTTGGTTCCAGCCGTAAAAGCCTTGAAAGCTTTCACGGTCTGAACTGCAATGCTACAAGCTTTTGAAGCTGGTTTCAACTTCGCTGTAAAATGTAATGGGTGCAAGAAAATTGATCCGTCACACAGACTGGAAAGTGCAGTGTAATTAGTTTAAATGAATGTTCTGCCTCAGGCATAGCAGGTAGATAGGTAGTCAGTCGTTTGGGTCGCCATGGGTGTTGGGTGGTTGGGTGAGGTGGGATGTCTTTCTCAGTCTCCTTTTCATCTCTTTACTTTCGTCGGCGGTGCGCATTGGTTGAACTGTAAGTTCGATTTTGGTTGAAATTTGGAACGGGACGGTTTTTCTTTCTAGTGATTCTAGTTAAATTTTTACTAATTTGTGTCGTGTGTACCGACTTTTGCCCCACTGCAGCCTTACCGCGCCTTAACCAGCAAGCTTACTTCTTGTTTCGATCGCATGACAGGGCCCTGAGGTGAAGCCGCAGTGTGACTTGTTGCTTCGTAACCGTATTTAGTGAAACAAACGTTCCGTTCAGTGTCAGTGACAAGGCACGTCCTGTTGTTGGAGATTTTTTGCGTAATGCGACGTCCTCCCTTAAAATTCCCTCCTTGACCCCCTTCATCATTACCCATCCTCCCTATCATCTACCTCAATTGTTCCTCCCTATCATCTTCTCAGTTGTTCCTAACTTTCTACCAACTTTCCGAAAAAGAGCTCCAGTTTTTCCTCACAAAGTAGCGCCGAGTGGGAATTTCTAGCGCATCGGAAAGGAAAAACCGTGATAAGTCGGCAATCAAAATGATTTTCTTCGAAGGCAAGTACGGCTATCCCTTCTAGCGACAAAATACGATCCCCCTCGCTGGGGATCCTCACTGTTCGTCTCGCCCTGACTAGTGACCACTATAGGGCTCCTAACTCTCACGAGAATGCTGAGTTGTGGGCAAAAGTCGGACCACGGGCGGGATTCGAACCCGCATCTTCCGCTTTCCGTGCGACTGCGTTCCCTACGCTACCGAGGCCACTTTGACCTCTCAGCTCAATGGCTATTTGTGCCATTGCCTTCGAGCACTCACACGTTCAACGTGATGAGCCGGTTAGCCGATAACCGCAAGGCTGAAGGCTTTTTACAAGTTTCAAGCTGTTATTGTTTGATAACTGCTGTTTAACGCCGCAGTACGCGATACGAAAGTTATCACAAGAATGCTGAGTTATGGGCAAAAGTCGGACCACGGGCGGGATTCGAACCCGCATCTTCCGCTTTCCGTGCGACTGCGTTCCCTATTACCGAGGCCACTCTTGCCTCTCAGCTCAATGGCTATTTGTGCCATTGTCAATATCGGCTAACCGGCTCATCACGTTGAACGTGTGAGTGCTCGAAGGCAATGGCACAAATAGCCATTGAGCTGAGTGGTCAAAAGTGGCCTCGGTAGCGTAATAGGGAACGCAGTCGCACGGAAAGCAGAAGATGCGGGTTCGAATCCCGCCCGTGGTCCGACTTTTGCCCACAACTCAGCATTCTTGTGATAACTTTCGTATCGCGTACTGCGGCGTTAAACAGCAGTTATCAAACAATAACAGCTCCTAACTCTGTTTCAGGCGCCTCGATTCCCTCTGGTTCCTTACAAACGCTGCTCCATGTGAATAGCAGGTTTATGATTCGTCTGATTGTGAGGCAGGCGAGACAAACCACCTCCCTGTGCATGTTTCCTGGAATCCTTTGTTTTTTAATCCCATTTAATTGTTAATAGTCATGGAGTGGTAAGCTGCGGTTGATTCCATACGTGAATTACTCGCCTAGCAGGGTACGTCGTATGTACATCGTACGTGGAAGATCCATACAAAGGGCGTATTTGATCGCAGAAGGGAGGAAAAGTCGTATTCGCCTTTGTGAGAAATGTTTCCGGTTGATGATTATCTCGGTTTTTGCCGTTTCAGGCCCGCCTAATACGCCCACCCCCGTCCTCCCTACTCATTCGACGGCAGTTTTCTGGGAAAAAAACCTCGGAAATGATGTCGGAGGTTTGAAGGATTTTGGAAGAGTGGTAGATGGGGTCAAGGATGGGGGTCGCAGTAGAGGAGAAAGTTTTGAAGGAATCGTGCCTCGTCAAATTTTTTACTAACCGCAGGACGTGCGCTGTCGTCTAGAAGAGGAACTGTGGCTAGAGGAGCCGTTCGCTGTTCTAGTCAGTCAGGCCTGGCAGTCAGATCATGCATGCTCCAACCATTCCGATTTTTTCTGGCTTAATTTGATGACTGTGTCGACGGGGCAACAGGATGTCTCCCTGTTTTTGCGAAAGGAGTTGTCCTAGTTCGTTTCTATCATTCGTTTTGACGGCAGTGTGCTATCCCCGCATTTTCCAGGATTTCTACTTCAAAGCAGAAGGTCATCATAATGGAAAGAGCGAGTCAACCCTTGTGGTTTCGATGGCTTTTGAAGGCCTTGTCCCGCAAAGATCAGTTTTCCCTAGCTGGATGCAGTTGCATTGTTATCGACCTGTAATCATGTGACTGTATAATGGTTCGAGGAGCAGAAAATAGGAGCTGTTTCGCTTGGAGGGGGTTTCGCTAATTTCTTGTTAGTTCATTTTCAGGCCCCACTTTGATCAGACCTGTAGACTGTTGTGAAGGCGCAAATTCGTTCGAATAGTCCGCTTTTGATCACAGGCGTTCACAGGTTAACAAAACTGCATGTAAGTTTGGTTGAGTACCATTCGGTACCCCCACCAAGCTGATTTCCCCCAAGTAGCCTTATTTACTCTTGATATGTTTTGAAAACTACAAGGCTACGTTTATACTTCACGAGTGAGAAGAACCCGCGAATGAGGAGTCGATAGAATGCACAAGTTGTGGAAATCCGGTGTTGGGATAGCGAACCTCCTACGAAAGCAGTTGGGGAGGGGGGCACCAAATTTTACCCGGACCCTTGGCACCCTTTAGAAATCCACGGGCTTCGTGGGTTTTCCACATCCGGCAAAATATGAAAGCGCCCCATCGCAGTTTCCATATATCCTGTTTTCTGAGGAGGTATAACGTGCACCTTCGCAATAAACTGATGTTTCCGGTTTTCCTTTCGTGTATTTTTGTTTATTATCTATCTATTTATTTTAACTATTTCGGATAAAAAGTGTTGAAAAAGATTACAGTGATTAGAAAATTTGAAGTATACAAAAAAAACAGTGGACACTTTCATAAACATTCCGCGGCTATTTTCGCGTGCTTCTTTGCTGATGGATACCTCTGCCCGGAAAATAGGAGGAAACCGCTCTATTTATCCTACTATATATAATCGGCTATGTGTGTGTGTGTGTGTGTCTGTGTGCGTCTGTCTGTCTGTCACGAAATTCATAGCGAGCGTCGCAGAAAAGATAGGATGACAGTTCCAAGAAGTGATATACATGGCAGGACGGGAACACTTTTGGTGGGTGTCAGGAGGTGATAACACTTGATAAGATACGATAAGGGGCCGTAGAAGGGGAGGGTGACTGAATTCGTAGCGCAAGTTGCAGCAGCAGTGGGACCGTGATTTCAAGGAGTGATATACATGGCAGGACGGGAACACTTTTGGTGGGTGACAGGAGGTGATAACACTTGATAAGATACGATAAGGGGCCGTAGAAGGGGAGGGTGACTGAATTCGTAGCGCAAGTTGCAGCAGCTGCGGGACCGTGATTTCAAGGAGTGATATACATGGCAGGACGGGAACACTTTTGGTGGGTGACAGGAGGTGATAACACTTGATAAGATACGATAAGGGGCCGTAGAAGGGGAGGGTGACTGAATTCGTAGCGCAAGTTGCAGCAGGTGTGGGACCGTGATTTCAAGGAGTGATATACATGGCAGGACGGGAACACTTTTGATATGTGACAACAATGCGATCGATATGACTCAAGTATAACGATCTCAGTGATTCCAACAGAACTCATTCCTCACTGCTTATTAGTAACGACATCGTGTACGACCGCTAAGCCAGCTCTATTCCAAATGCATGTGGTTTGTTTACAGAGATGTTATGAACAGCAGCAACTGACTTTATCACTCTTACCACAATTATCTTCCATCAGCAACTTCAGTGAGGGCCATTTAAAGGGTTCCACTGCTGAATGCGGTAGTGCATTCCAAAGCAAGACGCTTTAGGAAGACAGATTGCATAAATTATAGGCTGCTTCAGTGGCTGTCCAAACAGGCTGCACTATTTCCGTGTAGGTTATGAACGTACCAGTCGGATCGCTGGCTAAGGCTTTCCTCCTTCTGTGATGCGGGGGGGGGGGCGCTGCTGCTGCTTCTGCGCCTTGACGGAACAAGCGCTGCTTTTCAGTTCTTGGCTGATGCAGAAGATTCCTTTGAACAGTGTGGTTGGTCAACGATCCTTAACTTAGCACGCGGCAAATCCGCATGGCCCGGGCCGGGCCATGTCACAGAAGGAGGAGCGCCCGGCGACAGCCGGGCGATCCGACTGGTACTGTATATACACAGCGAATTTAGTTGTTTTCAGCGGCGAGCTCAACTCCTTGATCATTATTGGCTGGAACTTCTAATGGCGATTATTGGAGAACAGTTTGAGGATTTGGGCGAGTATATCTGTGGAGCTGTAGTGAATGTGCGGCAGAAGGGAGATAAGGTTCGTGCATTTATTCCTTTTATAAACAAGCAGGAAGGACACTCTGTCTTGTTCGCTGCCGGCGGTGTCGGGGGCTGGGTTTGGCCGGCTACAATCTGTGCAACTCCAGTTGTTGAAAAGCGTAAGCGATAAAAATTGGCGAAATGCGAGCTGGCGCAAACCAAGCCCACCGGGCACTAACGACGAGGTAGTAGGTGATTCAGTTGTGAATCAGAAAAAAACCTGATCGAAATGTCCCATGTAGAACTAGATGGTAAACCATGTACGTGCATAAGGTTAAGAAAAGGCAATGGCCGGACGAGTTCCACTTGTTGTTGGTCCCAGCTGTTTCTAATCGCTACTTCCCTCCGCAATTTTAAATGGGGAGAGTTAGTAGCGGGACCAACGCATCACCAGGATACCGTTAGAAAAGAAACCTGGGCGGAGCCGTGGCCATTAGGACCGCAAGCATGGAGCACAAGCATGGAGCATGAACTACTTTCGCAGCGCGTTGCGCTGCGAAAATAGTTCATGCTCCATGCCTGCGGTCCTAACGAGGAGTGTGCGCATCAGATGAAGCGGAGTGGAGTGTGCCTTAAAGACACATGGTACGCTCAAACACATTGAGGGTGTATGAGACTATCAGCCCCCCAGCTGTCGATGTGTCGTGGTCCCCCCGCCCAAAACTGCACGGGGTCAGAGTACGGGCCGTGGGAAAGTCGTTCACGTTTTTACTAACACCATCCGCGCGGCGCGGTCGCGTGCAGCTCTCTTGGCTTTTTGCCAAGTCCTGTAATTGCGCTTTGGAATACAAGTACAACGCTCTTTATGCGGATAACATTTTAGGTGCTGCAAAATAAGAACCGAAGATGATGACGAGGGCTAGAACTCAAGAGCAACTGTGCTGCTTCTGCAATATCCCTCAGAGGCCGCGCATTCCCACAGAACATGACAATAAAAACGGACAACATGACAATAAAACATGACAATACAAGCAAAACGCAATTTCCTAACATTTGAGGTATTGCTCATGCTTCAAAGTCCGAATAGAAGGTGATGAAGATGACAAAGGCTAGAAATGAAGAACAACGAATGTAGATGTAAATAAAACAAAATTGAAAAAACTAAGGAAACGCAATTAATTAAAATCGCGTGTGCATTTCTGCGATCCGGCTCGAATCCGGCTCTAAAGCTATAGAAATACTTCAAACTAACGCTTAGGCCGTTTTTATTGTCATGTTCTGTGGGAATGCGCGGCCTCTGAGGGATATTGCAGAAGCAGCACAGTTGCTCTTGAGTTCTAGCCCTCGTCATCATCTTCGGTTCTTATTTTGCAGCACCTAAAATGTTATCCGCATAAAGAAATTGCGTTGTACTTGTATTCCAAAGCGCAATTACAGGACTTGGCAAAAAGCCAAGAGAGCTGCACGCGACCGCGCCGCGCGGATGGTGTTAGCATAAACGTGAGGGCGGTGTAGCAAGGAATTACGACTTTCCCACGGCCCCGTACTCTGACCCCGTGCAGTTTTGGGCGGGGGGACCGACACATCGGGGGGGGGGGGCTGATAGTCTCATACACCCTCAATGTGCTCGAGCGTACTATGTGTCTTTAAAGTTCAAGACGTGTGGATTTTTGGTTGATGAGGGTGCATTTGTATAGTAGATATTCTCAGTTTGACTATTGGCCTCAAGTCTCATTTTTGTCTGAACCCTCCTCCTCCCACAATTGTTCCAAATCCGTTCTTGTTCGATCGCTGCGACGCCTGTGAGGGAGAGAGGCGAGAGGTTCAGCGTAACGTGTCTGTCCGGTTTTTTCATCCCTTTCCTAAATGGTTCTCATTCTAGCACCGATTGATGCTACCTCTACGTTGCTTTTTGAGGGCTTACTATAGGGAGGCGGCCAAAAGTCAACGCCGCGGTCGGAACTATGTCACCGCGCGCGGCGACCTGGTCGCGTGACGCGGCGTAAGTCCTGGCCTGGCATTTTGCCAACTCCCGATCGATATAATTCTGTCAGTTTTCATAAGCCGTTCCTCTTTTCCTCATCTTCCATCTGCCAAAAACATGTTCAAACATGCAAACATCTTAAAGCATGTAATCGCCGCGCGCGGTGACCCACTTCCCAGCGCGGCGACCTAGTTTCGGGCGCGGCGGTGAGTCCTGCTGACACACAACCCTTACTGTACATTCACCCTGCAATGTGCTTCCTTTGAATAAAGAACGTGTGAGAGTATTAAAGATTGACGATTACTTATTCTCAGACATCTGTAGAACACTTGGGGGCGCAATTCGGCTTGGTGGGGGCTATTTTGCTAATACATTGATCACTGCTTATGGGCCCTTGGCCTCTTGTGGAGACCTATGAAGTCTTGTAAAGTTATGCAAGAGAATGGGTTTTGTCCACACTTGACAAAAATGTGCAGGTGTCGCCATGTGATACAAGTAGTTTAATAGGGACTGGCAAAATAGACTAGCTAAAGAGCAAAATGCCCCCTCCCCGTCACCCCTAGGCCCAAACAACTCCCCTGAGCTCTTGACTTTTTTTAGTTTTTGCACTCATTCTGATCATTCTTTGTATTTTTGCAATATGTCTTTTTCCATCCGGTCATCTTATGCGGTAGTCTGCTCCTCCATTGCGTCTGAAATCCCATAAAATTTTATGCATGAGCAGGTTGGGATGCTGTTGTGAAGGTACTCAATAAAAGGATGAAAAGGGGCACTGTTCGGTTTGATGGGGGCACCTAATGGTACTTAGCGAAACCCTTACGGGCCACCTTGAGAGGGGTGTTAATTCCTTTAATAATGTGGCTTACTGGTACACTTCACAGCTTCACAAGAGTACAGGTCTCACAGAATAAGACCTGTTAAGTAAACCAGAAGAGGGAACTACTGAAAGTGCGAAATGCCCCTCCAAACCAATCAGCGCCGAGAAAGCTTTTTCAGGCGGAGTTTGGGTGTAGTAATCATAACATGAAAACGGTTCCCAAAATTCTGTGAACAAATCTCGGCCTCCATTATTGGGTAGTAAGGATGAACCTCAGTGATAAGCTCTAGGAAAAATTTGAAGCGCTTTGAGGCCCTCGACTTGCCCTAATGGTAGAAAGTGCATAGGGTTAAGGTCCTGTGCTGCTCCGGAGGACATTTTTCACTTGCACTGATTCCTTTTGATCGTTCTTCTTACAAAATTACACATCACACCTGTATGAGACCTGCAGATCCTTGTCAGTTGCAAGCGACGTGAGCAAAATGCCCCCTCCAAGCCAAACTGCGTCATTCGCTCTTTGTTAGTGTACATAGGATGCGGCTAGGACCACCCATGAGCGACTGTATCTTTTTTACTGTAACCAAAGGGCAGCGAAATTCATCGCTGTTGAATACACGATTGTTTGAGAACCAAAGTGCAAATATGAAAATTCAAGCATTGTCGGAGGATCCTGTTCTGCTGGCAAAGTACATTCCTTTAACTTTGCACCCCTAAACGAGCGGATCGTATCCTATTGTCTTTTACTGCCTCCATTCACGTTTGTCAGAGGCATCTTTTGAAGGAAGTAATTTATTTCATGTGTTTACGCGCTCAAACAACTTTTCAGGATAAAGGCCAAATATGAAGGATTAAGGCGAGCGCTGCAGTTTTGGTAGTGTTTTCAGGCGTTGCTAGGCTTGATGGGGGTTTTTGGCGTCGATCACTGCATTCTGTGAAAACGTACAAATTCCTGTAAAGCTGCGCAATAGCAGGAGCTTCGTTTACACTTGACAAGAGTTTACAGGTTTTAGCGGAATGAGACGTGTAATATAAAGGAACTAGCAAGAAGATAGCGAAAGTGTAGAATTCCTCCTTTATCCTGAAGAAGTGCCCCCAGTTGGACCGCCAGTGAGCTGGAATTCGTTGCGAGCAGCTTCAGTAATTGCCTCAGTGTAGGATGAAAAAGTAGCACCAGACTTTTGAAAGTACCTCGATGCGATTTTGTTTGGAGACTTAGCAACTCATATGAACTCAAGTCGATTTCCCGTTTCTTTGACACTCAAAATGAGGACCCAGACAGTGCACCCTGGTCCTCAGATTCAGCGTCGCTCGCCGCTTCCATTACTGGACATGTGTTCCCTTATCACACTCGGAGGCAGCGTTCAGACTTCGCGACAGCAGCGCTTCGGTCGCGCGATTCGACGCGATCGATGCGCATGCTTTCGACTGCATCGATCGCGTCGAACGCGCGACCGAAGCGCTGCCATCGCGAAGTCTGAACGCTGCTGTATTCTCGCTTGCTCTTGACAAGACGCCGGAAATGCCAGCGACTACATTGGTGGAAATGCTAAGTGGGTGTGATCGAACATCCTCTAGCGCTCTTTCTATAAATGATGCTGACAACAACCCCCGCCGCCACCCATAGTGCCTACTGCTTTAGGTTTCAAGCCGTATTTGAGCGTTTAATAACGAGAGAAAGGTCGAACCGCCTACCGAATGAAGTGTTCATGTAGGAAGCTCGTGAAATGAGCGCACTTATACTTATTAGCTCATGGTCGAATACGTGCATTAGATAACCGTATTGATAATCAGGTGTCATTATGGACTCGCGATGCTACTCGCGACGACGTGAATACTCGCATTGGACTTGTGTTGAAAGCGAAGCTTGATATACCGGATTCCGAACCTCTTAGGTCAGTTTTTGTTATGCTGCGTTCATACCGTGTTGCGTATTTTGAGCGCCTGAGAAAGTATAGATATCGATTGGGCGTTTTCAGCGACAGCCCGCGAAAAGTTTAAAACTATCAACGCTCAAAACCCTGGCGTACGCTCACCAGGGAAGTCCGCCAACTTACCATGGAATTTTTGAATGGAGACCTGGGTAGATCGATAGAGTCTATAAGGTTATTTACAAATATAGATAGCAAAACTGCAACCTGCATTTCACAAGCAACTTATGAGCAGGTAAAGTTTGTAATGGTGCAGTAGGGTGGAGGCTTGGTGGTGAGCTGTGAAGCATAAGCGAGGAATCGCACACGTCGAACGAGTCGCGGGTAAAATTCGACGTTCGACGGCTCGATTCGACTTATGCGATTCCTCGCTTATGCTTCACAGCTCACCACCAAGCCTCCACCCTACTGCACCATTACAAACTTTACCTGCTCATAAGTTGCTTGTGAAATGCAGGTTGCAGTTTGCTATCTATATTTGTAAATAACCTTATAGACTCTATCCTACCCAGGTCTCCATTCAAAGTTCCATGGTAAGTTGGCGGACTTCCCTGGTCAGATATCCGCGAATGGCTCAAAACACTGCCGTACGATGAGAGCGTTAGATCGGTGCTGATGCATTCCTAGTCGCTCAAACGCTTCCGTACGCTGGCGCAAAAGTAGGGACGAATTTAAACGTTGGTGTTTAATATCAACTAGTTTACTGCCCTCGATGGTGAAGCCCCGTATCATGATTCCAAATAAGGAGGCTACTGCAACAGCGGCTCGTTAAACTCCTGGCGTGGTGCAGTCCTTCATTAACTGGCCAGAAAGCGGTCAGCTAGTTTGGCGTTTGCATTAATATCGGTCTTGTTTTGTTTGTATTTAATATTTCATTTGCGTGTAGATATACCGGTTATACCGGTAGTGTCGGGTGAAATCTGGACACCCTTGTCACCAGGCGATTGTCTTGATTGTGTGTCTTGCTGGTGAATATTGCGATCGAGTGCACTTTTTGGTGTTCTTTGCTGTCCCTCCATTGGATGATATCCTCTATTCAATATCCGTTCACTTTTCTTTTAATCTAAAAAATTTCGCTTCGAATATGATGTCACCGAAATGGAGTAGAACGTAAGGAAGCCTCCTTTTTCCCAGGGTTCGGTCTTTTGTTCAGCTCGAATTATTTTCATCTTCTTCTTCATTTGTAGCCAAGCTTCACACCTATTTTGTGAACTATCGCTATTGCTCTTAAGTGGGGTGGTTCTTGGCGTTGTTCACTTTAGAGAAGGCAGACAGCCACTATCAGCGTTCGAAATGCGGGGTTGTCCCGGTTTTCTTTCATTCATCTCAGAAATGTTTAAGTGTTACCGGTTAATTTTTTTCTAATGAATATGTTTTAATGTTGCATGTGTGTGAATCCAGTTAATTTTCCAGTTTTCTTTGGAATTACAACATGCTACGATTGATTCTAAACAGTTTAATGGTAGAGAGTAGGGTAGCCTTGGATGTACTCTCCATATCCCAGCGTGGAGAGGCGGGGCACGCCATCGTTGTGATGATCACAACGGGGGGTCGTATTTGACCGCGAGGGAGGGGGTCGTATTTGGCCGTTGTTGGAGAGAGGGACTGCCAAAGATCTATACAACTACTATTTCCGATAGTTGAAAATGATAGTCAAATCCTGATGACCTTCCCTTTCCCTTCCCGCTCGACAGCAAAATTTTGGGGAAGAACCAGAAGGAATTTCGGAAAAACTGGTAGGAGGTTAGGGAAAATCTGAGGAATTTCTCCTACTTCACACTGGGTGTATACCCCCACTCTCCGCTCGACGGAAAACTCTTGGCTGGAAAGCTGGAAATTCAGGAAAAATTGGTAGGAAGTTGGGAAAATCTGGTAAGTGGTAGGTAACATGGGGAAGGGGGTCGTAGTTGGGATAGAAGTGGGGGGAGGGGAGTCGTATTTCCCAGGAAATGATCACAACGCGATGGCGTGCCCTATGGAGAGGGCGGGGCTGCCTACTTCGTTCAAGCGTTTCGTAGGATACGTTCTTCATGAGGTTACCTCATTAAGAC